CTATGATCATTTCCAGTTCATGCCAAGTGTTGTTGATCATATGATCATTTCCAGTTCATGCCAAGTGTTGTTGATCATATGATCATTTCCAGTTCATGCTAAGTGTTGTTGATCAATATGATCATTTCCAGTTCATGCCAAGTGTTGTTGATCATTTCCAGTTCATGCCAAGTGTTGTTGATCATTTCTCAATCGATTAAGATCTGTACGTTGAAATCACTATAATGTTTTTGAACTTAACTTATCTATTACAAGTTCTGTGAAGTTACTCTCGACTTCTAAGGCTGCTACCAATGAGGTTAGGCTAAAATTATTCACACTGTCTTAAGTGACTTAATACCTTAATTTTGGATGTCTCCCACAGCGGATCAGCGGTAAGTTTACGGACTTACAACGATAAAACCGAGAGTTTGATTCCCGTGCTGAGCAGAATGTAGGCAGCCTATTGTGTAGCTTTGCGCTAAAACAAACTTTGGGTGTTTGCGATTAAAATTTCAAGATGTCTTGTAATATGAATTTATTTTTCTACGTTGGTATTGTTTAGCGTATTCCAGATTCTTGGCCAAAGTAAAACGCTATGTGAAACCCAAGAAATTGAACTTAAAAGCTTAATAACTTCATAAAAACTTAATATATCAGAAGCGTATACTTAGTAAATGCTATAAGAAAAGAAACTGATACAATCTTATATGTATTGGTTAACATACTCACACTGTGAATCCGAAAGTTCCCCGCGGTTCGTACCCCGTTACTGCAAAAGTGAGCACCATTCTTTATATCCCATGAATACTCTGTAAGAGTGTCGGTCAAATCTTACTATTCGATCAGACAAGACTCCGTGGTGGGTACTTTTAAACAGGTGCCTTCCCTCTATTCTATAGGTTCAAAATTAGCGACTCTACGCGAAATTATCCAAAACAAGCATATCGTGATTGTTTACTGTGCATACTGCCCCACGATGGCTCAGCAATAACCTTGAGAGCTTATAACACTAAACGCTGAAATCCAGGTTCGATCCCTGTAGTGGCCGCAGCACAGGTAGTGCATTGTGCTGCTTTGCGCTTAAAACAAACAGATATTGTGCATATCTTGCTTCCTTGTAGTTCAGAGCAGAACATTTGCGTGAAGTAGAACACCATCAAAGATTTTTGGGGAAAAAAAAGTCTGTATATCAATTAGAAAGGTATAAAATAATGTGATTATACTGTGACTTGTGAGTAACAAGTGGACTTTTCATTCATGTACAAGAAGGCTCTTCTTCATTGATCTTCCATAGTCTATTACTTTCTTTATACTTAATGTTTTTATTCCATAATGTTTTAGCTTTCAAAATGAAGGCTCCCCCAGTGGCACGGCGGTATGTCTGCGGACTTACAACGTTAGAATCCGGGTTTCGATACCCGTGATAAACAGAGCACAGATAGCCCATTGTGTAGCTTTGTGCATAACTACAAACAAACAAAACAAATCAAAATGAAGTTTCATTCTTTAATATCCTTGTGTAAAAAAAGTTACTAATACTTCAAGTCAATTTTACTGTGTACAGAATGCAATGTTTCAGATTCTATTGGATGTAGTCGCATAAGTCTTCCAACTATTATTCAGCTGTCCACCCCATCCCTGTCCTACGGTGGGACAGGGGTAAGTCTTCGGATCTACAACGCGAAAATCAGGGGTTCGATTCCCTTCGGTGGACACAATAGATAGTCCGATGTGGCTTTGCTATAAGAAAACAAACATACACCATTCCACCCCTTCCCCTATAGTTAAGCAGTAATCTGGCGGGCTTATAATGCTAAATATTGGGGCTCGATACCCGTGGGGACAAAGCACAGATATTCCATTGTGTAGTTTTGCGCTTTAAAACAAACATATTAAGCCGTCACTGTGCTTACAATGTCAGTACAATAAGTCATCACGAATTAATCTACAATAGATCATCCCGAATTAATTAATCTTCAACTTCACTACAATGGATTATCCCGGATTAATTAATATTCAACTTCACTACAATGGATTATCCCGGATTAATTCATCTTCAACTTCACTACAATAGATTATCTCGGATTAATTGCCAATGGCCAAATTGTCTTTAAACTGTTTGTTCGGTAGTTTCAGAAACGTGATGGTTTCTATCTTCTTTCATTTTCATTTCTTTTAGCCGCCCTAACTCAATGTCACTGGTCTCACTAGAAATGTATTCACGAAACTTTCACACAAATCCTGAAATGTATTCACGAAACTTTCACACAAATCCTGAAATGTATTCACGAAACTTTTACACAAATCCTGAAATGTATATTGAGAAACATTTCTTTCGATCTGATGACGGATATATTTGTTTTTATAGTTATTTTTGTGTCTGTATTTTTTACTTCAGAGTTTACCTTCTCATCTCCTTTCGAAGATTGAATTTATGCTTATCGATAAAAATGACTTTTTTGAAAACTTTAAAACGTAAAAAACTTCACATTTCTTTCAACGAGAATTAAATGCGACGTTAAAAACAGAATGCAGTATGCCCTCCACTTTGTCCTTTATACCTGATCTTTGGCATTTATTTAACTGATAGACTGTATTGTTAATGTTAGTTTCCCCGTTTTATAGACTGTGAACTTTCACCCTGTCAATTAGGTACGTAACCAAAACAAAAGATTTCCAAAATTAATCTGTATGTTTAGAATGTTATCTTATCCATGACGATTGCAGAGAAGTTGCATCAGTATATTTTGTATGTACAGAGCTAGAACTAATTGGTTATCCCTTGTTAAACATATCGACAGAGTTACGAGATACGCTATAGCTGTTTCTTATACCTTGAAAGATATATATGAATGTTTAATTTGGTAAAAACATCAAAAATATCTGGTTCCGTAAAATCACACAAATGTTCTAATTCCGAACGTAACCATGCGAATTTGGATCAATGTTCTAGTGACAACTTTACTAATAACAGTGGTGGTCTGTATTTCAGGTAAGATTCTTCAAATATTATACTGACAACTTCATTAATAACAGTGTTGATTTGTAAGTTAGGTAAGATTCTTCGAATATTATACTGACAACTTCATTAATAACAGTGTTGGTTTGTAAGTTAGGTAAGATTCTTCGAATATTATATTGACAACTTCATTAATAACAGTGTTGGTTTGTAAGTTAGGTAAGATTCTTCGAATATTATAGTGACAACTTTACTAATAACAGTGGTGGTCTGTTTTCAGGTAAGATTCTTCAAATATTATACTGACAACTTTGCTAATAGTATTGGTGATTTGTAAGTAAGGTAAAATTATTCAAACATTTGTCCCTGGATTTGTTTTAACATTGTGACCTGTAAGTAAGGTAAGATTCTTCTAACTGAGTTCTTCTGTTGTAATACTGGTGATTTGTTAGTCATAAGAAATTATTCAAACCTTTTTGCTCGACTGTTTAATCTTTTTTCACAATGATCACTAAGTCAAATAATAATATACTAATCTTTGTAAGCCAAGAACCTCGGACTGTTGCATTTGTTTCAAAAGTGATGGCTTGTAAGTTGGGGACACTCTTTAATAATTTAGTACTTGGCAGTTTCCGACTTTTTAAAGATAAGTAAATTTTTAAACACTTTTTATTAGATATTTCATCTTTCTTAACGTCAAAAACTGAAGTATTTCCAGATGAAACAGTATGACAATCATGTTGATATCACGATATTCTTTACCAAGAAATGCGTATTCGTGTAAGTTAGTGAAACAGTGAAACTTCGTTCCGTTTGTTTTTGAAGAATAAAGTTTAACATTTTCTCCAAATGCTTAAAACCACAGACATATCTTATCTTCGACTAGCCTTGTTGAAGAACGGTGTTAACAACATTATGTTTGCATTCTATATAAGCAACAGAGTAACACAAAATTTATAACACACTTCGTGAAATAACAGGACTGAGCGCTTTCAAGAAAATTAATGTATTAATCTCATATACATTGTTTCCATTTCAAAGTGTTTGGACCTGATTCTCTGACACTTTAAGTATTTCTTTCGTTTTTATAATACATGAGCACATTTAATACGGATGTTCTATTCTGTAAAGATATATTTACATAATATTACGCTTTCTAGGAATCTGTTAGAAATGTCTACATCATTCGATCATGATATTTTGTTCAAGCAAGGTTATTAGATAAGTACCTAAACTACCATGTTATTAAACCTTTTCATTACATGAGAATCTATCACGAACCACAATAGTGGTTCATAATATGAATCGCAAGGAATTGCATAAAACTTTAATAGAACGTTCGAGTAAAAATGTACCTTAAACAATATAGATTCAGTTAAAACAACACTTTAAAACCTTTACTATTGACTGCTAAGGCTGTACGGATATAAAAGTGCACAAAACAGGCATGCATGCACAGCTTGGTATATTGCACCCAAACCTTTTGTAGAATACTAAATAAGGTCGTGGGGGTGTTGAAAAGTCGATTTGTTTCTTCTGTATTGTATATATGCTAAAAAAAAACATTATAATTCTCGTGTAAACGATGTTATCATTACCCCTTTCAGATAGCTTTCTTACAAATATTTGATGTTCCTTTAAAAAGCTGAAGTACAGGGTGAAACAGGAATTACCAGCCAATAATGGATGAACATTAGATAAGTGTAACATTTAGATACTCAATGCTTCGTACACTATTCAACCCCTATATTATGTATGAAGTGAAGGAGCAAAATAAAATCAGTACACATAATATTAAATTTTATTACACACATTCGTAGAATAATTACTTTAAAAGACACAAATATTTATTTAAAGCGATGTTTTAGACATATATGTGTTATTTGAAAAGGCTGCTTTTCTACTGGTGAAATTTTATATGCGCTTAGTGAGGGTTTTGTCTTAGTCTAGGCATATATTTGCTCATTGCTATACATTATATATAGAGAATGTAGTTACACAGAAACTATAAATGCTCACTATATTCTCCAACAAATTTCCATGGCAATCTTCAGCTGCAGCTTAACACTTTACATCTCGAAATAATGCGATCAAATAGTCAACAGGTAAAGTAAATCATCATGAACAGTATCAGCTAGCAACTAGCTATGTTGATTATCATTGCAATGTATAAAGTTAGCTACCGTATCAAGTAATCCTTTGCCCATAGTTGAGCATAAAAAAGCCAGCAACCGAGATAAATAAAAAATTGGGAATTTAAAACCTGCAAATAGGGATCGTAAAAAAAAGTAAGAAAACAAGGCTGGAGATACTGTAGACATTATTTATTCAAACTACAAATCCCTGTTTTGACTCCACCAAATGTAATTCTAGGTAACCACCTGGAGCCAAAATAGGGGGCTTGTAGTTTGAGTAAATAATGTCTACAGTATCTATCTCCAGCCTTGTTTCCTTATTTCTTTAAGATCGCTATTTGCAGGTTTTTAAATTCCCAATTTTTTATTTATCTTGTATTATATAATACTCAACCTAGGTTATGATATATATAAATATATCGATGTTATGATACTGAAGTTAAGCCATAAGATTAGTATCTATGTTTCTATATTATTCAACGAGCTAGAGTGCCCGTCCCCCTAGCCGGAAGTTATGTAAATTCATGATTAATGAAATGTCATCTTAGGACATGAAAAGTTGCTTTCCTTATATATGTACTTGTAAAAACGCAAAAACGCCCATAAAAACCGCAAAATGCAAAACTGGAAATTTGTATGTATCTCCCCATAGATCCAATGAATCTCCATAATTTGGTGAAGATCAATTCACAGGGGGCGAAGTAGTTACCTGGACATACAAGAGACAACAGACAATACTATTATATTTATATAGATTCATGTATTAGATAAATATCTATCTGTGCTACCTTTATCTTTAAGTTAAGTCATTAAACGAATGTCTAGGCTACCGTATTATTGATCTGGGTCACTGGATAAGTGTTAATGTTATCATATTATTTCAAGCAGGTTATCATATAAGTAGGTTGACATATTAATCAAGCTAGATTATTAGCTCAATATCTGTATAAAAATATTATTCATTTCATTAGATAAAGATCTGTCCATTTTACAAATTATTCAAATTAGGTCATTGAATGATTGCCTACATTACATATTATACAAGTGATGTCATTGGGTGATTACCTAAATTACATATTATACAAGTGATGCCATTGGGTGATTACCTAAGTTAAATATTATGCAATCTGGGTTTCTAAGTATCAAAAGGCTTTTGTTTGTTTGTCGAATTTCGCCCAAAAGCTACTTAAGGGTTATCTGCGCTAACCGTCCTTTATCTTGAAGAAAGGGACTAAACAAAAGGCAGCTTGTCAACACCGCCCACCGCCAACTCAGTCTACTCTTTACCAACGAATAGTAGCGTATGTTCTGGATTTAATGACCTAGCTTGAATAATATGATAACACAGAAAGGTTAAATCTATCCCATGTCTACATAGCACATAGGAGCCGTTGCTTATCTTCGGTATACTGGATGGGATTTCAATCCGAGATTATAACGTAGATATTCGTTTAATATTTTAGCTGGCATAATGTATGACATAAGTGATCATCCAATGATCTAGCTTGAATAAAATGTAACTTAGGGAATCCTCCAATGACCTAGCTTGATAAAATGTAACTTAGACAATCATCCAATGACCCAGATTGCATAATATTTAACTTAGGTAATCACCCAATGCATGTAACTGCATACCTATCTTTATATCACCATGTGATACTTAGAATATATCAGTGCACGTCTGTCTTGACATCATCAAGTGATACCTAAACATGCCACTTTACATCTGTCTTGGCGTCAACAGATGATACCTAGAACATGTCACAGTCTGTCTATCTTGATGTCACCAAGTGATACCTAGAACATGTCACAGTCTGTCTCTCTTGATGTCACCAGGTGATACCTAAAACATGTCACTGCACATCTGTCTTGGCGTCACCAGGTGATACCTAGAACATGTCACAGTCTGTCTATCTTGATGTCACTAGATGATCACTGTTAAATTATGATATTTATATTTAAAATTGTAATTAGATGCATTTCCAATGTATTTTATTTTTTTAGAACATGTAACTAAGAATCTATGTCATTGAATCTAAAAAAACTTGAGTTTTTGCTTGCTTATTTCTTAATTTCGCGCAAAGCTACTCGAGGACTATTTGCTCTAGTCATCTATAATTTAAAAGTGATAGAATAGAGGGAAGGCAGCTTGTCAACAACACCTACCGACAAGTCTTCAACTAGTCAATTTAAAAGTGATAGACTAGAGGGAAGGCAACTAGTCAACAATACCTACCGACAAGTCTTGAACTACTCTTTACTAGCAAGTAGTGGGAACGATCATTACATTATAGCGCCCCATGCTTGAAATAATATTGCTAACGGGATTCGAACCCACGTCTCACAGATCGCGAGTCGAGCGCCCTAACCACCAGGTCAGATTTTGTTTTAGTCAATATCTATGTTTCGATAATCTAGGTCACTCGATAATACATATGCTAACATTATATTCAAGCTACTGCAGGGTTTATTTTAAGGAAATTTTAGAACTGCACAAATCTTTGAGGCAGGTGCCATGACCC